TCAATGCCTATCGATTTGAGTTGCAGGAGATTAATATAGCGGTTAATGTGAAGCGAGTTTTTTATACTTATAAGACAAAAGTGGAACAAATTAAGTACGTGTTAGGCAAAGTTTAAGCCGTTGTTTGGTTACGTCAATTTACTTTTTATTCATATATTATGTGGGACGTACAAGTACTATAAGAGCATGTTTGAGTAAGCTTAAAATCCAATTAAAATTGAAAATATAACAGTTATTGGTCACAGTCGTCTAATAAAAGTCAACAATAACAACTAGTTTTTCAATTTTAATCTCTACTGAACACACCCTAAATATATTCAACACTCAGTTNTTTGGTTGTAACCTGGTGCTAGTTAATTTTTGTAACAAATTATGTATAAGGACAAAAACAAGGACTTGCCAAATTTAATTTATGTTGTATTTTTTATATCTAGAAAAAAATATTTTATTTCAAGATTCACCAATTTCAAAATATAAATATTATTTAATACTATATTAACATTAAACCATTAAAATTTATTGAATAATCAGATTTTTTTAATAAAATATTATTTAAAAAAATTCTCAAAATTTCAAAGTAAACGTGTTTTCCATTTTTACGTTTTCGAAAAACAGTTTTTCAGAACGACAAAAAGAACGCATTTTCAAAAATTTCAAAACACACACTCAAAACACAAAACATAAAACGAATTCAAAACTCAAAATACAAAATTGAAACACAAAGAGAACGCCCCCTAAGTTTTGTTTCATGTAGTTAAACTTTTTACTCAAAATCAGTCATTGCATCAGTTTCCATTTCCCAAACTTAATATCAAATGTGATGTGTCAAAATGACTATATTTTGCTATAGGGATGGGATTCATTCGAAAACTTGTTATTTCAATGCCTATCGATTTGAGTTGCAGGAGATTAATATAGCGGTTAATATGAAGCGAGTTTTTTATACTTATAAGACAAAAGTGGAACAAATTAAATACGTGTTAGGCAAAGTTTAAGCCGTTGTTTGGTTACGTCAATTTACTTTTTATTCATATATTATGTGGGACGTACAAGTACTATAAGAGCACGTTTGAGTAAGCTTAAAATCCAATTAAAATTGAAAATATAACAGTTATTGGTCACAGTCGTCTAATAAAAGTCAACAATAGCAACTAGTTTTTCAATTTTAATCCAATTTTAATCTCTACCGAACACGCCCTAAATATATTCAACACTCAGTTGTACCAATTTATAATTTAAATCAATTATAAATACCTCCCAATAATGCTTTGAATTTTAATTTAAAATCATGTTTGGTACAAATTATAATATAAATTATAATCTAAGTTAAAGTTAATATTAATTTTAATTACATATTTTAAGGGTCCCGCGACTTTTCAATCACACTGTTTTGTTTTGTAACTCAAATTTCATGTGAATTAAAAGATTGATTCATGGAGGAAGCCTAGATAATATTAGTTCGAAAGTTCGTTTTGATTAGAGATCAAATTTCATCATTAATTGAGAACTTAATTGGGATAAGGACTTTGAAATGGATAGAGAAGTGCTTTTTGGGACAAAATCGGGGCCATCGGGATGTGGCACCACTAAGCCGACGCATGGAAAGAGGCAGAAGGGCTCGAGCCAAGAGGTGGCACCACGGCGTCGCCTGTGGGGTAGGAATATCATTCCGTTTGGTTTTTGGCACGGTTTTGTATTATACTTCATCCATAACTCTGAGATTTGACTCTTATATATACTCCACAAGGTGTATGCTTCTTATAGACTTAAAAGAGAGATTAAAACAGATAACAATTAGATCATTGTTGTATAGATTAGAAACTTGATAGAATTAAATTTTATAAAGACAATTTTAGTTTCTTGGTATAATAAATTTTCCTCCTCTTCCACAAAAATTTTGGTTGTTGTGTGATCCATTATTTTTCATATTATCCATATTTTCTCGTATTTAATTATTTGGCTGAATTAACAAGTGATATGAGAGACGATTCTGGTATCTTGTTTGATTATCAACAAGGTGGTATCAGAGCCAATGTTTTAGCGAGTTCTTGGGAGGCCCAATTTGATTATTAAAGCGAGATTTAAACAAGTTAATTGTTTCAGGAATGTCAACTATGGAGTTCGAGATTTCGCTTTTGGATCGCAGCATTAGATTTTCTTTGTGGCAGATTAAGATGCTAGCGGTTCTCACTTATTTGGATATTGATGACCCTTTGTTGGGGATAGATAGAATGCCCGCAATAATGAATGGGGAGGATAAACAACGAAAGAATCAAAAAGCCTTGTCACAAATAAATCTTCATCTTTTTAATCAAATTCTTTAGGACGTGGTAAAGGAGAAAAGCGTCGCAGCGTTATGGTTAAAATTGGAGCAACTTTGTATTACAAAGTGCTTGACAAGTAAGTTACACTTGAAGCAGCAGTTGTATTCTCATAGTTTGATAGAAGGTGGATATTTGGATAATCATCTATCGGTGTTCAAGGGAATCGTTACTGACTTGGAGACCATGGAGCTCATGTATGATGAACATGATTTAGGGTTGATATTGTTATATTTGTTGCCGCCTTCATATGTGACTTTTAGAGATATCATTCTCTATAGATGAGATACTCTTACTACGATGAGATATATGCGGTGCTTTATTCTAAGGAAAAGATGAAGCATCTAGTGGTCGATTTTGAGGCCCAAGCAAAGGGTCTTGTAGTTTGCGAAAGGAAGACATGTGGTCATGGAAGGGACATAGTCAATGATAGCAACAGTGATAAAATATGATGGTATTGCAACAACGAGGGGCACATGAAGAAAGATTACTGTGAGTGGTGAAACATGTCCGCTACTACAGATCAGAATGAACAATCGAGAAATTTCAACAATGTCAATCTTACAGAAAAAGATAGTGATGTGGATCTTTTGACTATTATTGAAGGTGACTCCAAACCTAATGATAATTGGATTTTTTATTCGGCTTGCACTTTTTCATATGTGTTCAAATCGGGATTGATTTTCTTCATATGAAATAGTTACAAGGGGTTCCGTGATGATGGAAAATAAAGAGCCTTGTAAAATAGTTGAGATTAGTAATGTCAAACTCAATATGTTTGATGGGAAGGTTAGAAAAATTGGCCGGTTCAATATGTTCCAGGTATAACAGAAATGTAATCGCTTTGCATACTCTCGATTTAAAAGGGTGCAGGTATACTAGTAGATGTGGAGTTCTGAAAGTTAGAAATGGTGCCTGTGCTGTGTTAACGGGACAGGAAAAGTCCCGGTTATATGTATTAGAAGGTTCGACAGTCATTATGAATGCAGTTACAGCTTATGGTTCAATAAGCAATAACTCAGGTAGAGTTGATTGTGATCGGTTGTTCGTGGTGGTTCAAACAATAATATTGGAGGATCTTCTAGTAGTTCAGGTGGAGTTTGTTGTGATCTTGTTGATCATGTTACTTGTGATTCGAGCAGGTTTGATAAATTAGGTGGAGTTGAAATTGCCCGTGGTGATTTGAGTAGATTCATGGACTCGGCTGGAGCTAGAAGTAAACGGGTTTATTAAAGCAAGAATGGCGAGGAAAGTAGTTCTACTGGTAAGCAAAGTTTGGATTTAGTTCATAGTTGCTGAGTGTGCTGGCAAAGACATGGGGTATCTAGAGTTGCATGGTGGAAGAGTCGGAGAATGAACGTAATTCCTTGCTATGAAATTTGTGTTAAGATGGAGTTTGTTATGCTTTGTGACTCAAATTCCATATGAAGTTTGATTTATAGAGGAAACCTAGATAATGTTGGTTTGGAAATCCGATTTGATCAGAGATCAAATTTCATTATGGATTGAGAATTTGATTAGGATAAAGACTTTGGAATGGATAAGGAAGTGTTTTGAAAGTTTTGGGACATAATCGGTGGAGCTGCGGCGTCGCTTGTGCCGTAGGAATTTCATTCCTGTTTGATTTTTTACGCAATTTTATGTTCCACTTCATCCATAACTCCAAGATTTGACTCCCCTATATACTTGATAAGGTATAGGCTATTTAGAGACTTAAAAGAGCGATTATGGTATTTTGTTTGATTATCAACACACACATTTCATCAACTTTTATCAAAATCCACTAAAAATATGATTTTAATCCCCACCAAATAGAGTCTAAGTTGATTGAACATGCTTTTTTATCCACACATTTCGTATAATCAACAATTACTATACTTAACTCCATATAAAACTCACAACTTATAAGCACTTAAAATAGTACCAAGCCATTGTTTGACCTCTCTTTTTTCAAATTCATTTTTAGCCATATATTTTACAAGTACGACAATTTTTATCAACTTTTCAATAACTCATATCAATTTTTATCCAAACTAAATAGGGGGCTAAACATACTTTAAAGTTCAGTGACCAATGTAAAACATATTTTATTGTTAGATAATAATTTAGAAAAGTATAGGGACTAAATTGAAACCCTTCTATAAGATCAGTTACCAATCAAATACCGAACTGACAAGTGACAACCAAACATAGACCTTCACATCCATCTGCTCTTGAACACATTTAGAGCATGTTTGGTACCAATTAAAATCAAATTAAAGTTGAAAATATAGTCGTTATTGGGTACTACTCGTCTAATAAAAGTCAACAATAACGGCTAGTTTTTTAAATTTAATCCGATTTTAATTTCTACCAAACGGGCTCTTATTCATTCAATCGGTGCTTATATTGGTACATTAAAGTTGGTAAATCGGCCAATTTTTTCTAATGTCCTCGTTCTCTGTTCATCTGGCCACGAGAGAGAAGAGAATTAGACGCCGACCGAAAAATCTGCTATTTTCTACTGACCAATACTTCAATGGGTGCTATTAAGGTAGCGGTAGCCGATGGGGTGTTGATTTTTTTGCGGGTTTTTGCGCATCGACATTGGGCGCACTCACTTTTGTGGTGGCTTCTGCTCTCGGAGTAGCCCAAGGCCTACCCACTCTTTTCATCACCACTGTTCTCATTTTTAATGTCATGTTCTTGTTCGGCATCATCTGCGATGTGTTGGGTAGTGCTACCTCAATCCCATTGCCATCGCCGCCTTCTATACCGCTAGTATTGGAGGCGCCAATTCTCTCGTCTCTGCTGCCCTCCGATTTCCTATCCAGGCATGACTTGCTTGCTCTTCATTTTCATATTAGTCAGATATTATGCATAGTATATAATCATCTGATAAGCGTATTTTTACATACTTATTTGACTATCAAAACATGATCAATTATTGATTAAAAGTTGGAATATAACTTAATTTTATGTAATTCGTGTTTTGCAGGATAAAGTGATAAATGTCGTGAAATAAGGAGAAATAAGTGAAAAATGACCAAAATGGAGGAAAACAAAAGTTTAGGGACCAATGCGCAAATAATCTAAACTTGTTTCTAACCTTGTGATGAAGATTCGAGAGTTTTAAAAGTCAATTGGATGAAGAAATGAGTCAAATGGGTGAAATATAACCAAGACGTTATCACATATCAACTTTCAAGTTGAAAAGATTTGCACCGATTTTCAGCCTCATATTAAAACTAGTTTTTGACATGGCAAATGATTAAATTCGAAAATACTGGTATTTGAAGCAAAGTTGTAGCTTTTTGAGTTAGCTTTCCAACGCATCTTGAATCATTTCAATCCGACATCGAGAGAGGAAGATACGGTTAAAATACTGAAAGTTGTTCGATGGGAAAACATTATAAACCATGCAGCCACATGGTCATCTATCAAGAATCCAAGGGTAGCAATTCTTTGTTCCATACGGCCACATGAGTTTATACCTTGCAGCCGCATAGGTCATTTCTGTAACAAAATTTCTGGTTTACTTCTATGACTCAAACTCTTTTGGTAACGTATCTTGCACGACATTTCAACCCTAAAAAGATCTCAGAACGCCTCCTAACCATTCAATTTTCATTCTACACCAATCTTTCATTGATTTTGGCTCAAGAAACCTATGAAGAACTAAACTAAATGTGAAGTAATGGAGGAACTCAATTGGATTCGGGGATTTCAACATCATTTATTCATGCTCTTTGGTATTTATTTTGCTAAACATTTCTAGATCTAGATTTTCATATTTATGAATTAATTTTGAAATTGATTTAACATGTATTAAGTTTTTCATAGAATCAATCTTGTTTTTTCTATCGAACAATTGAATTATTTGTTGAATCTTTATTTCATTAAATCTATTGGTGTGATTATTTACTTTCTTATGCTACATGTATATGAACGATTTATAATCTGATTTCAATAGATGATTGTGATAATTGTTAAGGAGATCTAGAATTTAGGATGTGTTTTTCATTGTTTAAATAATTCTAGGGTTTATGTTTTCCCGTATTTTGAATTAGATTTGAGTTAGATTTAACATTTATTCAGATTTTCATGGATTTAATCATGTTTCTTCCATTGAATAATTAAAATACTTGTTCAAGTT